CCTTCAAGAAATCCAACTCCAAATACAAAACATCCAGTATATCCAAAGACAAAACAATTAGGCCTAAACTAAAATAAAATTTTGGGGACCAATCCACAGCTTCCTTTCTGCAGGGAGCTACACAGTGTAGCAATAAGATGCTGAATCTCTGAAAAATCCTGCTAATGCTTCTCGCCTTGGAGGAACAGGAAATAGGGGCCTGAGTTGGCAAGAGCAAAGCTCTGGAATTTTCCACACGATCCCCCCCACCTCCTTCCCCATCGACAGCCAAACCTCAGTCCAAGGCCAAGTGGTGGGAAAGAGCCAGAAATAAGCGTTAGCAGCAATTGTCTCCTAAGGCCAGGCAGCTGCTGCTGGCACAGCAGGCTGGGTGGGGGAGCGCACCTGGCCACAGCAGACGAGCCTTTCCCACAGGGCTGCCTGGGCTCTCACTCTGTATCTGCGCAGCCAAAGAGGGGAGACAAACCCAGATCTCCAGCCCCACCATCCATCTGTGCAGCAGACCAGGTTTGCTGTTTACCGGATCGAGCTTCTACTCAAGGCTTTCCACAAAATCAGGTATAAAATGAGTGTGTGCAGAGCTCCCAGCTTTGACTGCTCCTAGAACTGCTTCTTCTCTACTCTTCTCAGCCAGCTTGACGCCAAGAAATGTACACTTGATCTTAGCCAAAAGGCCGAGAAGCAATTAAGCTAAATCTTTTTTTTTTTTTTTTTTTTGACACCGGGGCTCGAACTACCAAGAAATGTAAATGACGCTGATCCAGGCTGTAGTAGCTCATGTTCCATAAGGAAGATGCAAATCATGCTTAGGGTAACTGAAGATAGACGGAAGGGATGACAGGATGAGCAGCAGGCCCAGGCAGAACTGCTGCTGTTTCAAAACTACTAAGTGAGGAGAAATTCACCTGTCATCTGCAGTCCTTTTGCTCCCCTCCTTCAAAAAGAAGGGCAAGAAGGAAAGGAGCTCCAAACATATAAGAAAGAAAGAGTTTACTTCAGAATAGTTTGGAGAGTTGCTTCTAATCTTTAGCAAATTATTAAAAAAAAAAAGATCCAAGATGGAAATAACAGAATGAAGATGATGCAGGTCTTGGAGACCGGGGATTTAACAGTGAACTCCATAGCTGGAAGAGATGCCTCCTTGTGTCCCTCAGGGAGGGGCTGCGAACTTTTTATGAAGATGTGGATTTTTTTTCCAGTGCTGGTGATCAAAGCCAGGGCTTTGTGCATGCAAAGCAAACACCTTACCCTAGCTGAGCTATATCCCTAGTCCACTATGAATGTTTTTTAACGTCGATGTATGGGACAAGGTATAGTCCCATTGGAGAGCCACGAGGGTGTACTGAAGCCAACGCCGTGGCTGTGGATACCTAATCACTCACCCTCCCAGCAGGGTTCCCAGTGCAGTTAGGTCTCTATCCCTTCTCCATACATCCTACACTTCAGCACAGGCTGTTGGCACCCCAGGCTCTGTGTATTGGACCAGTCCCAGATCATCATTGGCTAGCAGTGGCCTGGGGACTGTTATCGGTCATAGAGGGGATGCGACACAGATAGATGCAAGTAGACTAAAAGAACAAGGCATAGTCCATGGTAAGGGGACACAAGGAAAGGCCTGTCAGCCTCGATCACCAGTGGCAGTCATCTTGTGGACATGAGGCAGAAAGAACCTGGGTCTGGATGACATTTTCAAGTCCATCCTACCCCATGGCTCCCTGCTGGACAGTTGTCAATGCCCACTGAAGTCATGGTTTCCTAAACACCATGGCTTTCTTCCTTTCCTTTCTGTGCATTTCCATATTGCATTTGTTTTACAATAGTAGATATTCTTTTTGTAAGTGGGAAAAAGTGCTTTTATATTTTGATACTTTTTTTTTTTTTTTTTGGTACCGGGGATTGAACTTGGGTCCTTCCGCTTGCAAGGCAGGCGGCGGGAACCACTGAGCTAAATATCCCCGGCCC